AGGTTGGTGCCTGTTAAAACATTTAAACCAGATGCATTTGTTTCATCTGTCCTGTTGTTCAGTGGTTGTCATTTGTTGATGTGGTTCATAAGTGTTTCTTGTTTCTTGTTTTTTTTTTATAAATTAGACCGTCGATTTTCCTGTTTGAATGGTTTTACACTAGTCATTGTTGGGGCCCTTTATAGCTTGCTGTTTGGTGTGAGCCAAGATTCTGTGTTGAAGGCTGTTCTTTGACCTATAATGATTTACTTTTTACAAATTGTGACTTGGATGGATTGTCTCATTGGCACTCAAACCATGTCTTATCTCTATTTGTTATTTATTATGCAGTTGTATTGATATTCAAGTAGTGTTTTGGAATTTTTGAATTGTGAATGTATTGTCACTTTTCAGTTTTGCTTGAATGCTGGATGTGATTAATTGTGCAAATTTGAAAATTAATAGTCAATTAGATAGCATTCAATACTCTGTTACAATGTCAATAAAAAGTTTTTGAAAAGCTGGCAACTGATTTCCAGCCCTTTATACAACAACTGTGTTTTTAACGTTTAACTGCAATGTAGATTACACTTCATAATTATGTTGTTGGATATCAAAATTAGACTGAAAAACTTTTCTTCCCAGGTAATTGATGCCTTTTTGCATCAACTGACTTCAGAATCAGAGAAAACAATATACATTAACAGTACTATTATGACAGCAATTGCATCTAGGCAAGCAGATATACATGGCTGTTTACAGGAGGTAAAAATATATTTATAAGTATATTGCACAAACATTGTAAAAATGTAGATATTTTTAAAATGTTTTGAATTTCAAAATTAATTAAATTTCACAAAATGTCCAGTAAAACCTGTATAAACCCGCCAACTAGGGTGCTATGAAAAAGGACTGGTTTGGACACTGGGTTGTTTTTTCAGGTTTCTAGATTGACAGGAAGTTATTGCTGTGTGACATCAGCTATACCGATGGACTTTAAAAAACACAACACATATTTTGTTTATTTTTTTCATCAAATGATGACTTATATAGATACAAGAAGATGTGGTATGAGTGCCAATGAGACAACTCTCCATCCAAGTCACAATTTATAAAAGTAAACCATTATAGGTCAAAGTACGGTCTTCAACACGGAGCCTTGGCTCACACCAAACAGCAAGCTATAAAGGGCCCAAAAAATGACTAGTGTAAAACCATTCAAATGGGAAAACCAGCGGTCTAATCTATATAAAAAACAAGAAACGAGAAACACTTATGAACCACATCAACAAACAACAACTACTGAACATCAGATTCCTGACTTAGGACAGGGTCATTTCATTGCCTATCATGCTTCCCGTACTCCATTTTGAAAAAATCAATACTTGAATTTTCTCAAACAATCAAACATCAGGGAATTTTGACGTCGCACTAATTTCTTGACACAAAAAAATTTTTTTGAGAATTTTTTCATGGTTAAACATTTCCTTGAATCCATTGCCAAGTTTTAATCAGTAAAAAGTTGTTCATTTTCCTTTTTGTCACTACTGAGAAATGAAAATTGAAATTAAGTCATTAAAAATTTCCAGACAGAATTTAGTGCACGTTTTATTTAGAACAATTTCGCACTATAAGATTACTTTTAAATCCCTAAAACTTCAGAGCAGGTAGTCATAACTCTTAAGTGACCACCTATGAACCTGGTCAACCTGTTACGTCATTTCAATCAAATTAAGCAACGTCATTTGCAACACAGTATAACGACTACAACGTCAGTTTTTTACCAAGTCATTGGATGTCATGGCAGGCAGATTTACATCAGCAATGTTTCTTGTATCCTGGAATGCCACATAATCCACTTAAGTAATGTTTATAAAGGTTTCGGTGTACACCACATTACAGCAAAAACAGACTGAAATAGGTGGAAATGGGCAAAATCAGAAGGGGGAAAACTTTACTGAAAACATTTCCAACAGTATTGGTAAACCTTTCTGTCAATCATTTAGGGATTTTTAACAGCTGTCTTTGCCTTTGACAATTAACAAGACCAATAATGAAGAGAAAACCACTATTTTAATGCGTACCACATTATTTAAACGTTAAGCATGACGCAATCAATTCAACTTTTGAATTTCAAATTTACCGTAGGCGATGAAGATAAATGAATCAATTTTTTATTCAATTTAGTATTAGATGCGTAATGTGTATTTTAAAATGAAAAACTCAAAAACTATTCGAGTGTTGCGTGTCTCAAGTCCGTCAGTATATTTTGCATGTAAAAGTTGTATCTAATTGTAAACTGTAAACTAATAATTGAAATGCTATGATAATCTATCTATTAAAGGTCATGTGACAGACATGTCATGACTTTTGCAAAAATATTTTGACATGAACATTACAAGTTTTCCCTAACTTTCCACCATTTTACCATGCAAGTTCTTGTATTCAGTTATCGTTTTCATAGGCTTTAAAAATTTGAAAAATAGGTTGTTCCCTGTATTTAAAAAAAGGAACATATAACAGTTTTTTCATATCCTTGTAGGTCAAATTGACCTTGGTAGCATCAGTCCCTGACTTTACAGTTTCATTTTCACTTTAAATCCATTGTTTTCATTTGCATCAGAGTCCCAGTAATGTTTGAATTGTACAAGGAGCTAGAGTGTCTTTTAACCTTCATTGTACAATGTATATGATCATTATAATATTTTGTTATACTGTAAATTCAGAAATTGTGAGGTTTTTGTTAATACGAAAAATGCTACTGGATAAATACTGAATAATAAAAACTTGCATTTTTTATTGAATACATACATTTGTGAGAAGATTTTCCGAAAATCATAATAATTAATCATGCATTTTCATCAATTTTTAAAAAATCGCAAGAATTAATATACAGAATGATTTCTGAATTTACAGTATACATTTCAGAACTCAAGTCAAAATTATGGTTTATAGTTATGAGTAGATTAAACACTGTTTTGATTGCTTATTGGTCTTGCTGTTAAAATGTTGTTACTATCCCTATTTGTAGGTCAACTTCCAGGACTATGATTGCATTATTGGAGCAGTTAATGAAGGACAAAGTCACTGGACATTATTGGTATGTCAAGATATTTGATTTGAACATAGACCTGAAACATAAGTTGTTACATTTCACAATCTGCAGTCATATGTATATCCAGTTATACTTTTAGTCTTAAGATTCTGTATACATAAACAGATAAATTTAGAGTTTAAGTCTTTTCATATTGCTGCTCATGTACAGACAAAATGGCAAACATGCTACATATCTCATTTAAAAGAGCCCCCTTCAAGGGTGACTGGGGAATAGAAATATGGTCACTTGGTCTTCTTCCGACATGCAGTAAAACGCTTGCCAAAGTGGAGCGTCCATTTGCGGGATGTACAAGTTTGCAGCCACATCCAGTCAGAATGGGGACGTTAAATCAGATGCCTTGTGTAAAGAGAGTGCCACGCTCTTTGCATGTTAAGAACCCTAGCAACAACTCTTTCAGGGGTTCATAGGTGGCCTGTTGCAAGGCAAAAGTTCCGTCCCTATCCAATATACCCTCATTTTCCAGTGGCAGTCCAAATTTTCCCGACCATCATCCTGGATGGCCTCTATTACACGACCTACCAATTTTATTTATTGTTAACTTGTTCTCGTTCTGAACATGCATGAAATATTTGCCACTGGACATTAAGCAACAAACAATCAACAATCAATCAATCGTTTAAAAGAGAGGCCAAAGATGCCAAGGAGATATTCAAATCTAATAAGTCAAGAAGCTAACATGACATGCCAAAGAATCAAAGTTTTTCATTGCCTCCTTTTTAGATTATATCACTAATATTTAGATGATGTGAGCCATTAGGCTTAATCCAGAAAACAAATATTTTGCTAGATGTATTTTACAAAGATGTAAATGTATGTAAAGTTTCTCTTTGTTTATTTATATTTTGTGTTTTATGTTTTATGTACTTTACAGGTTATTTTTCCACAAGAAAAAATGATATGTTACTATAATCCAATGGGTGAAATGTTCCTGTCTATGCACAAATTGATGGAGAACTGGTAGTAAGTATACAATACTTTTAGTCTTAATTTGAACATTTTTTTATTAACTTGTGCTTATCTTGAATGTAATTTTTGGTTATCTTTTCTTACTGATGAATTATGTAAAATAAGAGTTGATTCATGTAAACTAATTGATCGTATGAATAAACTTATTCTTAAAGTTTTACCAATTTAACACTATAGTAAATCTTTAAATATTGTTATTACCAGTACTAACATTTTTTTTTGTCAAGCCTGCGACTTTTGTCGCAAAAGCGAGACATAGCTTAATGTACATTCTGTCGGCGGCGGCGTCCACAAATATTCACTCTGTGGTTAAAGTTTTTGAAATTTTAATAACTTTCATAAACTATCCTGGATTTCTACCAAACTTGGGCAGAAGCTTGTTTGTGATCATAAGATAGTATCCAGAAGTATATTTTGTAAACAAAAATCCTGTTTATCCATATTTTACTTATAAATGGACTGAGTTTTTCTGCCTGTTAACATTGCATTCACTCTGTGGTTAAAGTTGTTAAAATTTTAATAACTTTCTTAAAATATTCTGGATTTCTACCAAACTTTGAAGCTTGTTTATGATCAAAAGCTAGTATCTAGAAGGAAATTTTGTAAAAATTTATTTCCTGTTTTTCTGTATATTACTTATAAATGAACTTAGTTTTTCTTCCAGTTAACATTACATACAGTCTGCAGTTAAAGTTTTTAAATCATTTATTAGATTCATAAACCATCCTGGATTTTTAAAAAACTTGGACAGAAGCATTTTACAATCAAAAGAAAGTATCTAGAGGAAAGTTTGTAATAATTTTTTCCCCATTTTTGTTGAGTCTGCGACTAACAGCAAAAGTAGGCGAGACACTGGGTTCCGCGGAACCCTTACAAATTTTGTTATTTAAGAATTTAAACATAACTAAATATATATTGCTATACATGTACAGTTTTTAAAGGCAGTGCTTTAATGCCTTTCTAGTTGCCGTGTTAATATTTCTTTCCGCGATATCCAACTTATCTACGTGGGGGGTCATTTAGCTCCAAGTAGATCCGGAAAATGTTGATTCTCTCCTCTTCTTATTGTGGTATAAAATGTTTTTTGTCTCATTTCATTTACATTGGGAAATAGAGAAACGATCATTGTGTTTTGTTAGTTTTAAAAACTTTTGATATATTTGTATTTTACATTATAAGCAGTCAACCGATTGACAAACTAGAATTATTTGAATTCCGTGTGGAAAGAGGTCGGGTTAATTTCGAGTGTTATCTGCAATCTAGATGTTTATAAATCATTTCAGTCATTGATATACTAATTAAAGGTCGACTGAACATGAATTATATTATACAATTTAAAGCGCATTTCTGTTTATGCACGCGAACCCGTCTAACGTTATTGTTATTTCGCAGTTATATTAAGTAGCAAATTATCGTTCCTGAATAGGTGGCGCCGTGGTAGCCGATCCTGTACTTCAACTTCCGGTTTCTGCACTGTGCAACTATTACAGTTGCATTTTTAATTAACGATGCCAAGTACTTGTTGTTGTGTACCTGGATGTCATTTAAGAGGAGGACATGCATTTCCAAATGACTTAAAAAGAAGGAAAAGTTGGATCAACGCCATGGCCCATACGCAGATTGGACGAGAACACGATGAAATCGTGGAGTCCATCTCAATCAGCTGTTGTTTGCAAGGCACATTTTACTGAAAAAGACTACGTGCAGGAAACTATTCATGGTAAAACTCTATTTTCTTTTTAAAATATATAGTTATATATGTAATCGCCATGCGAATAAACCAAAGTCAGTTTACAACCGCAATTATCGTTTTAGAATAAAAGGGGGTGGTTAATTCAAGACGTCATAATTTTTTGGATTACGATTTACGAGATTTTTTGGTGCTTGCTACAATTAAAATGATTTCTTACAAGAGGTATATCATACTGAGAATTATTTTAGCAGTAATTATGCTTATGTAGTAATGACAGGAATGCATAAGCTATGCCTCATAGACTTTCTTGAAAAATATCAATGACAATGTTAACAGGAACAAAACAATGACATGCTCTCATCTATATTATAGTTATTTAGGTACAAACAATGTATGTTTGTTGCATACGTCTCTCATTGTTAGTCCTTTGGATTTACATAACATACATTTTGATGTACATTGAATCAGGCTAACGTAGTTTTATCCAGATTGTAATGAATAAATCTAGTTAATATTTTGCCAGGTTACGAGTACAAAGGAATTATAGTTATCTCGTACCATTGTAACTCGTACCACTAAACAAAAACTCGTTCCAATGCAAACTCGTACCACGGTAAATTCATACCATTGTAAACTCGTACCAAGTTATTTAAATGCATTCAAATGGTGTTTAATGATGAATATATACTTTAATTTCACTCAATACCTCTTAAGTCTGTAAAATGTATATAATTTGAAATTACAATAACCAATTTGTAGCTAATTTTCCTTGTCTAATTGGATAGAGAAAACCGTGGCAGATTGGCTTTGTTGTCTCCCTTGAATACTCTTTTTTAAACTTTTACTGACAACTATTTGATTTAATTTTTAATCATTCCAAATCAGTAACATTGAATAGATTTGGGTATTTTTCTATTGTTTCTAAAAGGAATTTTATTTAATGAAAGAATTTATTGATTGTGTTTTAAACATGTTAAAGGTTTAAAATTGTTTATGACCAACAGTTAGAAAGTATGAAATTTATTTTTATACAATATTCAGCACATTTCAGCAGAATATGACCATGCTTATATGATTATACAAGTTGATTAGTTAAAGATAAAAAAAAACAAATTGATTAGTTAATAATCAACCAATAATCACACAATCAAAGGAATTTAATATATTTATTAGCATGGTAATTAAGAAATTACATTTGTATTTTTGTCTAAGTTTTCATTAAAATCTAGTATAAAATTCAAGTAATTCAACTTTTTTTATTTAGTTTACCAAAAAAAAAATCATAAAACTTTCGTATTTTTGAATATATTTTTAATGCTACGAGTTTGCAGTGGTACGAGTTCTGATTGGTACGACTTCCCAGTGGTACGAGTTTACGTGGTACGAGTTTACAATGGTACGAGTTAACTTGCTTCTGTACAAAGTATGCATTGCTAATGGAAGTTCATTTAATTATCAAAAAACTAATGTTTTATAACCTTTTTCAGGGCACAAACCCACCATACAGAGACTTAAGTCTACTGCCAATCCCAGCCTATTTTCCTGGACCAAGCAAGAGACTGAATCGTCCGCAAAAAGAAAAATCAGGGCAGTTTCCTGTGAAAACAAAAGAACTAAACTTGATCAATATTGTAGTAGAAATCTAGAGGAAAGTTTTGATTGTAAAGTTGGTTTTCCTGAAGAAGTAATTCATACTGCAGACAGGATTTATGACTGTCCACCACCAACTGCGAACTAATGTTGAGCTTCACAGATGGAATTACGCAAACACCATCAATGCCTATATTTTCAGCAGAGAATTTTGAAATGAAGACACGTGACACAGCCATGCATTTTTATACCGGTTTAGAGTTGTATACTAAATTTTTATTTGTTTTGACCACACTTGGTCCAACAGCACATTGTTTGAGATACATATATTTTCAAATTGATAGGGTGTCATTTGAAAATCAGTTTTTTTATGACTTTGATGAAATTGATGCATTATACAACCAACTTTGAACTGTCTAGATTCTAGATTGAAACTAGTGTTAAGAATATTGTGTAAACATGGATTGTTTTTATGTCTAAACAGTGGCGTGAGGCTAACACTTGGCCATTTAGTGGTTTAGTCAGGTATTTTTCGCCATCCAACTTAGAATTAAAGTTTCCTACAACTTGGATTATTATTGACAGCACAGAATATCCCGTGATAAAACCTAAAGCTCCTAGAGCTCAGGCAACCTTTTCATCATATAAAAACAGAAACACTGAAAATACTTGTATGTTCGACACCTGGTGGTTTAGTCAACTATGTCTCTAATGCATATGTTGGTTGTACCAGTGACTGTGAAATAGTTGAAAGATGTAGAATAGTTCAATTATGTGATCCAGGTGACAGTGTGATGGCAGACAAAGGTTTAAATGTGCAAGATTTGTTTGCTCACTTTTTTCAAAAAAAGAAACAGAATTAGTTCCAAAAGTCTTATACGGGATAGAAAAGTCTCCAATTAACACGTGCACATAGAGCTAATTATTGGACTTGGCAAAACATACAAAATTCTAATAAATCCTATGAATGGAACTGAAACAAAACTTTCATCTGAAATAACATTTAGTTGTTTTATGTTGTGTAATTTTAGAACTTGTATTGTGTCAAAGGATGCATAAATAAAAGTGACGCAATGAAGTTTGTTCTGATATATATATATAAATATTATTTACAATTACATGCACATGTAAATTGTAATGCATATAAAAATAAGGAGATGTGGTATGATATTCAGTGAGTTTATCGAACCAAAGTGCATAAGAAATGGGTTAAGCAGTTACAGTTGATACTGTCACCATACAATCTCCAACAATTAGAAAAACTTGTACCATGTAAAAAATTTCATAGATCTTACAACTAAGTTTTGTTGTCTCACCTTGACTTTGGTGAATTGTTTATATCTGTTGATGTAAATATAAAAAAGAAGATGTGGTATGATTGCCAATGAGACAACTCTCCACAAGAGACCAAATGACACAGAAATTAACAGCTATAGGTCACAGTAAGGCCTTCAACAATGAGCAAAGCACATACCGCACAGTGAGTTATGAAAGGACCCGAAATGACAATGTAAAACAATTCAAACAAGAAAACTAACGGCCTAATTTATGTACAAAAAATGAACGAATAACAAATATGCAACACATAAACAAACAACAACCACTGAATTACAGGCTCCTGACTTGGGACAGGCACATACATGTACATACAGAATGTGGCGGGGTTAAACATGTTCGCGGGATCCCAACCCACCCCCTAACCTGGGACAGTGGTGTAACAGTACAATATAAGAGCGAACTATAAAAATCAGTTGAAAGAGGCTTAACTCATCAGATGGATAAATACAAATACAAGTGGACCTGGCCGGGTAGTTGTACATCCAAACAACAAAAAGACACTAAGTACAGATCTGAGAGTACTCGCATTTACTGACAGCTAGTTCAAAGCCACAAACAACTGATAAAAAAATCTTGCATCTAAGACTAAATTATCAATCCGTAAGCTCCCTTTAGAATTTTATAAATTTTAGATTTTACATTTCTGAGTTATGGGGTTTTATTCATTAAAAAGGGGGGGATTTTCCAGTTTTTGGACAACAACTCAAAAATGCTTTAAGCAGTTCGCATGAAACTTTGGTGAATTATTTATAGCTATTGATGTACAATGTAATCTCCCTATTGATTTTCATAAATTTCAAATATGACATTGAGAAGAAATTGAACTTTATTTGTTTATAGTCTGGCAACAGATATATTAAGTATTGCGCAACAGCACAGTGTATTGCACAACAGCAAGAAATCTTTAATTGAATATAAATTCAATTCATATAACCGATTTCAAGTTCTTTGACTACATTTATTCAGAAACTATAATATGTCAAATATTTAATTACAATCCAAATTCAGACCTGTATCAAGCTTGAATATTGTGTCCATTTTTGCCCCAACTGTTCAGGGTTGGACCTCTGTGGGTGTATCCAGCTGCGCTCAGCGAATCAGTTTATTACTTAATTAAGAACTCCTTTTTGTCGAGCCTGCGACTTTTGTCGCAGAAAGCTTGACATAGGGATAGTGATCCGGCGGCGGCGTTAGCTAACTTCTTAAAAGCTTTATATTTTAGAAGGTGGAAGGTCTGGATGCTTCATACTTTGTATATGGATGCCTCATGTTACGAAGTTTCCGTCAGTCACATGTCCAATGTCCTTGACCTCATTTTCATGGTTCAGTGACTACTTGAAAAAAAAGTTAAGATTTTTTGTAATGTTGAATTCTCTCTTATTATAAGTAATAGGATAACTATATTTGGTATGTGCATACCTTGCAAGGTCCTCATGCCCGTCAGACAGTTTTCACTTGACCTCGACCTCATTTCATGGATCAGTGAACAAGGTTAAGTTTTGGTGGTCAAGTCCATATCTCAGATACTATAAGCAATAGGTCTAGTATATTCGGTGTATAGAAGGACTGTAAGGTGTACATGTCCAACTGGCAGGTGTCATCTGATCTTGACCTCATTTTCATGGTTCAGTGGTTATAGTTAAGTTTTTGTGTTTTGGTCTGTTTTTCTTATACTGTATGCAATAGGTCTACTATATTTGGTGTATGGAATGATTGTAAGGTGTACATGTCTAGCTGGCAGGTGTCATCTGACCTTGACCTCATTTTCACGGTTCAGTGGTCAAAGTTAAGTTTTTGAGTTTTGTCTTTTTTTCTAATACTATATGCAATAGTTCAACTATATTTGGTGTATGGAAATATTTTATGATCTATATGTCAGTCACGCAGGTTTTTTTTTTACCTTGACCTCATTTTCAAGGTTCATTGCTCAGTTTTAAGTTTTTGTGTTTTGGTCTGTTTTTCTTAAACTATAAGCAATAGGTCAACTATATTTGTTGTATGGAAGAATTGTTAGCTGTACATGCCTGCCTAACATGGTTCATCTGACCTTGACCTCATTTTCTTGGTTCATTGGTCAATGTTTAGTTTACTTGGTTAATGTTAAGTTTATGTGACAGTTGTAATAAAGCTTTATATTTAGGACTATCAACATAATATCAATGATTAGTAAAGAAGGCGAGACATTTCAGCGTGTGCACTCTTGTTTCATTCATAAATTACTTTATACTTGGAAATATAATTTTGCTTGGAGTTATAGTTTCTAAAAAAAGTATTGTCATTGAAAGAGTTGACATGTTGCAATGTACATTTATTCTACATAGTTCTATGGTACCAAATCAAAAGTTTATATTAAAGAAAGAAGTCAAAGGTTTCCCATCATAGTTTAGTTACATACATATTTTGTACCTGAGGTCGTTGAATATAGATCATTATATAAATAAGGAGATGTGTTATGATTGCCAATGAAACAACTATCATCCATACATTGTACTTACCAGTAACAAACCACATTTGCAAAGTTTAATAAAATACAGTTGATAACATTTACTTATTACTTAAAAGAAAATGCCAAACTATTTTAAACAGTATTTGACTATAAACATAGATAAAAAAGGTACAAACTGGACATAATGCACTAGTTCATAAACAAGTGAGAACAATTGCCTTCATATAGTGCTCAGAATATGACATTCATAAAACTTGTTCAATATCATTAGAGAACTCTAAATCTTAAATACTGAAAGCCACCTCTGGTAAGTACAATGTACTATGCAAGATAATGATATAACTGGACTAAAAATACACACAACCTGTAATTAACTGCCTTTACAGCGCTTTCGCGCTTTGATTTAGAACTCTTGATCCTATAGATACTGTTTACTTATATTTTGGCATTGCAAAAGGTCATAATTTTCTCATACTGTTTATGACATCTGTACTCTAACTGGATGTGTTCTAATCGATACTTTAGTATTGAATAACATGATTTATTCATTTGTTGTAATTGGCTTTGAACTAGCTTTTAGTAACAATGAGTAATCTTATATCTGTGATTTGTGTCTATTGTTTTTATTCTTGCTGTTTTTATGCTTCAACAATCTTTCGAGTGAAGCCAATTGCAACTAATTTTTAGTTTGTTTTTATGTTGAGCTGGTGTTACTCCACTGTCCCAGGTTAGGAGAGGGATGAGTGCTCACAAACATGTTTACCCCACCATATTCTTTATGTGCCTGTCCCAAGTCAGGAGCATGTAGTACCATTCATTTTCTCTTTTGAATTGTTTCACGTTTTTTTTCATGTATTGGCCTTTGATAGTTGACTATACAGTATGGGTTTTTCTCATTGTTGAAGGCCAACAACTTTAAAAACAGCTATAAAACCAGGTTAAGTCCACCATTTTCTACATAAGAAAATGCCTGTACCAAGTCAGGAATATGACAGCTGTTATTCATTCATTTAATGTGTTTGAGCTTTTGATTTTGCCATTTGATTAGGGACTTTTCATTTTAAATTTTCATCGGAGGTAGGTATTTTTGTTCTTTTACTTTTATCTATACAGGCTTATAAATATCAACTTCATTTGAACTCTGGTTGATAGTTGTCTCATTGGTAATCATACCACATCTCCTTATTTCTATTGTCTTGCCATCATCGAAAATTGCATTATGGGAGACATAGTGATTACTATGTGGTGGCAGTGTTAGCTGTTTGTATAAAGCTTTGTTTTTCAGAAGGTAGAATGTCTACATGTCTGTTTAACAGGGATCACATGGCCTTGACCTCATTTCATAGATCAGTAGTCAAGGTCAAAGTTACATGATTAGGTCTGTTTCTCAGATACTATAAGCAGTAGGTCAACTATATGTGATTTATGGAATGATTATAAGTGGGTTCATGTCAGTCTGGCATTTTCATATGACCTATAACTAATTTTCATGGTTCTGGTCAATGTTATTTTTTTATGTTTTAGTCTGTTTTCAAAGTTCGATGAGCGAAGGGTCAACCATATTTGGTGAAAGGAATGATTGTAAGGTGTACATGTCTGTCTGGCAGGTATCATCTGACCTTGACCTCATTTTCATAGTTCATTGGTCAATGTTTAGTTTTTGTGTTTTGGTCTATTTTACAAATACTTAAAGCAATGTATCAGCTATATTTGGAGTGTGGAATGATTGTAAGGTGTACATGTACATGTTTGTCTGACAGAGTTCATCTGACTTTAACCTCATTTTCATTGTCCTTACATTGGTTAATGATTATTTTTTGTGTTATGGTCTGTTTTTCAATTACCATAAATAATAAGTCTACTATATCTGATGTCTGAAATATTTGACAATGTAAGGGTTACATGTTTGTCTAAGAAAAAAAACTTTGAAAAATCAGTTACTCCATCCGGACCTGGTTCATCAGAGGGATAATTAATTGTGTCATATGCATGCATAGTCAGCCATGGTAATCTAGATTCACTAAATAAATTAATAAGAGGGATGACCTCACAACATTTTCTGATCCGACAACTGTTTTGTTGTCTTAAGATCTAAGACTGAAAATTAGAACCATAGACAAATCTTATCAATTTACCTGTTTATGATGACGATCCTTAATTTTTTGTAGTGATGACTTAAGTTGATCTCTTTCAAAACTGTATTGGAAGGGTTCTAATGTTTGGAGCATTACCCTGTATATATATTTATGCCTATGAAGGAAGTCTGTACAATGTGAGAAGTAAGTTATTTGATA